CAGATGTCCAAGAAGAGGTGCTCGACATCCTCATCCACTGCAGCATGGAAAGCGACACATGAGCGATCACAAGAGCTCGACCTGCAGACTTGGAACTCTGGCACAGATTGCAGAAGAGCCCTGATTGGGGCTTCCGTGAACCGCTCCCAGGGGAGCTTGCACTCGTCCTTGTAGACACTTAGTCTGCATACGACTGTGGACAGATTCTCTACTTCTGCAATATCTGCAACTGAAAGCTGTACCTCCTCGTCTCCAAGCTGGATCAGAGTACCTGTCACAAGGATTGCCTCCTGTGTGGGAGCGTACAACGCGGGAAAGCGCAGCGGAGAGGCATTGGCCAGGCCATAGGAGTGTGCTTCAATTTCGGAAGTGGTAACCAAAGCCAGTGCATCTACACTCAAGTTTTTTGCCGCTTCAAGGAAGGGCGTGGCCTGGGTGCTCGTGCAGAAGCAAATCCCGGTCGCGCACGCTTGCACTTCAGCAAAAGATATCTGGCCAAGTGGGCTCCCGGACTTTGAGACAAAGCTCCCGGGCGACAGCATCAATTGTGTTGGGTCGATGTGAAGCGGAGCAACTGCTAAAGAGCGGGAGGCACGTTGTTTCTTGGCGCGAGGTTGCCTGACTTCTGTGCCAAACTTTGTCTGTGCCTTGAGCTCAATGTGGGCCTGTAGTTCATCAGGTTGAACCCATTTGAAAGGGGTGCCCGGTCTTGAGGCTGCAGCTTTGAGGGCTTGCCAAACGTTTTTCTGGGAAAGTGCCCCTGCCAAAGGACCGGGTCCCAGCTTCGCCACTGCTGCTTGCAGCCGCGCACCAACAGCATCCTGCGGCACCCCCTTAGAAACAAGAAGGCGCTGGAGCTCCTGTTCCTGTGCAGGGGTCAAGCCACCCCAACCTACAAGCGCACAAGGGAGTTCGGGCAGGGTGGCAAGGAAGGATTTGGCCCACTCGAGTGCCTCACTCTTGTTACCTGGTATCAGCAGGTTTCTAGCATGTGCAAGCACAACGGCACCGCAAGGAGTGCCGGCATCCTGGAGCCAAACTGAGTCCTCTCGGAAGCCTACGAGAAAACAGCCACCTAAGTGGCAAAGGATCTCCGCAAGCTCCTGAGCTGCAGCTTTGTTTCGTCCAGGGATCCCGTCCAAGACCGTGGCCACAGCAGCGCGACCTGTGACTTGGAGAACAAGCAATGTCCAGTGCTCTTGCGCCAAGAAAGGGGCCAACAAAAAGTGATCTTCCGGCAGGCGGGCCGCCTCCAAAGGGCCAAAGGGCAAGGGTTGCCCCCCATTGGCTAGCCGCAGGAGCTCCACCGCAATGGTGGGAGGGAGCAACAAAGCGGGATGGGCAGAGTCATCTAACACCCGTGACAGGCCACACCAGAGGGCGGTATCTGAGCACCCAGGAAGATCGGAGGAAGACCCGGGTTGGTGTGAGGGGGTTTCCTCTGTGGTGGCATGGGAGCTGAGACAAGACGGGGCCACTAAGGCAGGGGAGCCTTCACAGGGAGTGGCATTGCAAACTGTGTCAAAGGCCGAAATAAGGTTTCGCACAGGCGGCTCTGGAGCGTCCAAAGCCTTCGGTGTTATTGCATCCAAC